AAGGTCATTCATGGAGGCTTATGAGTGATTCCTAAAGGCAAAACAATTACCAAGAAGATGGAGATCCAAGAAGAAGGCATCTTGCTAAGGGATCTACAATAAGTGAGAACATTCACTTTAGAGGAAAGTTTTAAAGGTTTACTCAGACCTTTGATGTAAGTATTCAATCCATTAATTGAATGATACATCATATTTTTATTTTTGTATAAAACTTGTCTCTATGTGATGAATCAAGATCTATGAATCAAAATCCCTCGAAAATTTTTTAAAACTTGCACGTTTCCCAACAAGCCCAACCTTGAATAGAGAAATAATCCGATCCTCATTTGTGGCATTGGGGTTTAAGTTCTCAAATCACAGGAATAAACAGAGATTCCTCGTGAACAAGACGAACGTGGGTAGGTCTAATCTGGCCCCTCAATTGAGCCACAAAGATATCATATTCGATGGACTTCATGGGAAATGTCTATGTTGTAGTGCTCGATGAACGCAGAAGATAAGTGCTCTCGGCAGGCCTCTCGATTAAGTAGAAACATACGAGTCATGAAACCAACCTGAAATGTAGAGTGCTGCTAAATAAGCTCGAGGGTTGTCCTGGTAAGCTGCTGGCGGCGGGAAACATTCCATGTATTTGGAGAGTTTGTGCCGGAAACTGGCAAAGATGCCAGTGTAGAGTGACACAAAGGCTCTAAACGTGTCATTGCTCTTCAAGTCCACGCAGCGTCTGTAACGTGGATAGTTTTGATAGAAATTCCCAATAGAGCGTGCGTGTTGAAGATGGTGAGCAATTCGGGACTGTGGAGATGCCATGGCAGCTTCTCCATCAGTAGGTTGTACATTGCGGCCATTAGCTGTGTTGTCCACCATAATTGAAACTCTGAAAATAAGGTTATTTTTTAAACAGAATTAAAAACAACACAAACTGAGTTCTCTTCTACTCATTTTCTCCATTTTCTTAGCAATTAAACGGGGTTTAGACACCGTGATCAGCTTAATCGGCCTAAAAAGAAGTCATTAGCAAAAGCTGCATTTAGAAATCAGAGTACCACCTCTGATTATCAAAATGGCCGGAGAATCACCCAAAATGGCCATAAGACGACATAAGAGAACAAATTTACATAATCTTTCATGCAGAAAAAAAAATGAACATTTCATTAATTTTAACGCTATAAAATTTAGAGAAATATTACAGTAAGATGGATATCAAATATGAAGAAGAAACTCCTATGGTATGTGAGTATGTGATACAAAAGAAGAATTTAAACACTTATAATACTCAAATAAATAGTAAAAGATATGAGGAAATTAAAGGAGAGTGAAAAAATCAGTCAGTTCTTTTTTAATGATCGAAGAAGAAGAAGAAGAAGAAGAAGAAAACTGTATGAATGGAAAAAAACTCAAATGTTGTTTAGAAGCTTAAAAGAAATTGGGTGACGCGTTGGGACTTGGGAGATAATGAAACGTTAGATATTGGGCGGTATTGGGAATTTTCTTCCACAGTTAGGGATATATCTCATAAAAAAGTTAGAATGTTTAATAAAATATTTAGCCTTTTTATAAAGTACATTTCGTCATGGAAGATTTTCTTTCCACACCTCTAGAGTCATATAAACATTTTATTGCTATAATATATAAACATCTTATTATTTTAACTAAAATTATTAGATTGCTCCTCTAGGAATCTACAAATGGATAGTCGTAATCTACAAATGGATAGTCGTAATGGGTGAGCGTTTGTCTATATTTTTAAAAAATTTAAATTGTTAGATAATGTTGTATACCCACCCATTTATACACACTTCAACCCCCATCTAAATTCGATGTGGGATAAGTTCTACTTATAACATTCTCTTCTACTCGAACCCGCGCAACGCCCTCATTACCCTCATTGCGATCGGGCCACCCTTCAGGGGCCAGACCTAGACGTCCTCCTGGCCCGGCGCTTGGTGTGATACCAGATTAATGATTAAGTTTGACTCTGATACCAACTGTAACAAGTAGACGCTTGTCTATTTACCTAAAAGTTCAAGATGTTGGGTAGTGCTGCATATCCACTTATTTATACATACTTCAATTCACATCCAAATCCGATGTAATTCATCTTCTCATTTCCTCACATTAGAAATCGTTTATTTCTATTTATTATTAAACATTTATTATTATTATTATTATTTTGTGCACTATGTTGTTAAACTTTGAGTTGCTCTCAAAGTTTGGTCGTCCCCTGCCCTTAAGAATTGATGAGCTAGTATTAGGATAAAAGGGTAATTTACACAAACCTCCCCTTTGGTTTGTCATAATTATATGGACCTCCCCTCTGGTTTGAAAATTTACTCAGACTTCCCCTAACAATGAAAATATCTCACACGAATCTCCCTTATGTGTGACGGACCGTCAAATACACTAACTGATATGTGAAAATTACTGAAATACCCTCACGTTTTCCATCTGAAATTACTAATGTACTCATAAGTATTAAACTTAGAAAGAGAAGATCCACCAATAACACCCTCCCTCCACCTCCGTTGCCGCCGTCACCACCAGTATTATCAACCAATCTTCAATCCCACGATTTGGAATTGAATGATAATAAAGATCAAGGAAGTGAAGGTTTTCGTACCCTTGTTCAACATCCTATACATCACCACACAAGGTTTGTCTCAAACATATTAGTCTGTTTATATCTCTGATCATCTATCTAGACACATACGCCTAATTAATGGTACGATTGTTAATTTGCACTTGCAGCAGCGATAGAGAAGCAACGGATATGGGCATAACCCAGATTGATTCTAAGCCATTGATTTTCGCTGAAAGTTTGATTTTGGTAATTAATCTTTTTTCTTCCGAATGTATAATTCTTCTATTCTAGACTAAATCTGAGAGTCAACCAATGGCTGATATGATTGATTTTGGTAATTAATCTTTTTTCTTCCTAATGTATAATTCTTCCATTCTAAACCAAATCTGAGAGTCAACCAATTGCTGATTTTGGTAATTAATCTTTTTTCTACTAAATGTATATAAATTCTTCCATTCTAAACCAAATCCGAGAGTCAACCAATTGCTGATATGAAATACTAATAAAATTGTGATTCAGAATAACAGCCAAAAGGAGAATTCAACCTATGGTAGTGATCAAAGGATTATGTATTCTTCTGATGATCCGAAACCAAAAAGCAGAGGGTTGACCATTGATCATGATGTCAAAATTCAAGAGTTCTCTTCACCAATCTCCTCCCACACTCTTGATTCCCTCCTCAAACCTGAAAAAAAAAAGTGAAAGAGTATACAGAAAACATATCGATGGTGTCAGAGGTTATTGAAGTTAGAGTGATGAAAAGGCAACAGAACACCCACCAGATTGCAGTTGAAGAACACCCACCAACACAATTGAGTGAAGAAGAAGAAGAAGAAACGGAATATAATGATGAAGATGAGAAGGAGGAGGAAGAACATATAGTGGAAAAACCTCTTACTATTGAGTGATGAAAAGGCAACAGAACACCCACCAAATTGCAGTTAAAGAACACCCACCAACGCAATTGAGTGAAGAAGAATAAGAAGAAACGAAATATAATGATGAGGATGAGAGGGAGAAGGAAGAACGTATAGTGGAGAAACCTCTTACCATTGAAACAACTTAGGTGGATTGTAATGACCCGGTCATTTTCCTTCCTTTCCCTTTTCTTAGATTTTCACGGATATTTTTTTTTTCCGTTATACTTTTCCTTTCTGAGTTCAGTTTTTCATCACTTAGTGTCGTTTCGAGTGCTCTGGAATGATTTCCGAGACTCTTTTCCTTGGATTAACAACCTCCTTTGAGGACCGAGTCATTCTCACATTTTTCGTTTTTCGACACTATTCACTTTTCGTCATTTTCCGTATTTCGTCATTTTCTCTATTTTGTCTTTTCCTCGTTTGTCACTTTTTAGCACAACCTCACTTTTCGTGCTCGTAGTTGGTTTTCGACTTCACGTACCTGCAAACCCTCCTTTCTCCCTCGTCCGGACTCCAAATCGAGTGAATTTTTTTTTGAACTTGACTAATTTTTCGTCGTCTATCCAACGGTGTGCTCTATTTCATCCAGATCTTCTTGGATAATTACCAGTTTACCCTTTTGCTTTAAGTGCTCGTTTTTCTTCGTCTTGCCGTTTCTCCTTCGTCCGGACTCCGAATCATGCGATTCTTGAGTCCATCTTGATTAATTTTTCGTTATCTTCCCAGTGGTGTGCTCGGTAGCACCCGAATTCATATTTTTTCAGAAATAACCATTTTGCCCTTGGGGCTATTTTTGTCCGGTTTTCTTGTAATTTCGCTTCCGCTACTTTCTTTTGAGTTCTGTGACTTCACAGGAAGTCATGGATGTGTCTCAGAAATAATATACATTCTAGGGAAGTAATTTCCATGTAAAATGACTATTCTGCCTTTGGGGGCTTATTTGTCATATTTTCGATCTTTTACTTCTGCATCAATTCTCATTGAGTTCCACGACCTCATAGAAGGTCACTTTGACTTCTTAGAGTTTTATTTTTTTTTTGTTTTTGCTTTCGCATTTCGGATCCGTTATCGGATCATCCTTTCGGTTCATTACTGACGCACTGGCCTAAAAACCAGGGCCGTCACATGGATCAGATTGCTGTTCAACAAGAGCCACAACCGCAATTGAATCATATATATATATATATATATATATATATATATATCAATTGAAAGAGATAAGGGCATTATGGGAATTTTAGTAAAATTTGTACATATTCCATTATTGACTTGACTCTAACATAAGGGAGGTATGTGTAGGATATTTTTATTGTTATAAGAGTATTGAGTAAATTCTCAAATCTTTCCCTATAATTATGACAAATAATACCAGAGGTTTAAGTAAATTACCCTATAAAAAAATGGTTATTTTTCAACTTCCGAACCCAAGTGTGTGGTCCATATTGATTGTGACCCACATAATCCAACTTCACAAATTTTGCATTTTGCGTTCCCAATCGAATTCGGTGGTCTTCAGTCTCTCTCTCCACTTCTAATTTCTATGACCTCCACTGATCCTCATTCCTCCTAATAAACCAACCAAACCAGTGTGATTTTGTGTGCGAGAGAGAAACACACACAATAAGGAAAAATGTTGAGTGCAGTTTCTCCTACTCGTGTTCTTCAATCTCCATTCGTATACTGCCCTCTCAAGCTCTCTTCTTCTTCTTCTTCTTCTTCTTCTTCTTCTGTCTCCTTTAAGTCCGCAAGAAATCAACGGTCACCAGTGTCTTATCCATGTATCAGAGCTATTGATCTTGATCAAAACACGGTTATCTCTCTCTAGCTCTCCATCATTCTCCAACTAAGAATTTTTTATTGTTATTTTAAGAAATTTATCTGATAAAAAATTAAATTTATTGGCAGATAGTGGCAATATCAGTAGGGGTTATGAGCATTGCTATTGGGGTTGGAATTCCAGTTTTCTACGAAACCCAAATTGATAATGCAGTAAGTTCTCTCCCATAATGTACCAGTATTATTATGTTTGCAATATGCAATTGAGACATATATATGTGTGTATATATACACACACATAATACATGTATATGTGTGCAGGCAAAGCGAGAGAATACCCAGCCATGCTTCCCCTGCAGCGGGTCTGGTGCTCGTAAGTGGTCCTCCATTCCCTTGTGTTTATTACTGTATTTTGGATGTGTAATTTGACTTATTCCCAATGTTTAGTTGCTTCCATACCTAGTTCATATACCATATCAATTATTTAGCACCTGAATCTATTCCATTTATTTAACTGGTTAGAGATTTGGAAAAAGAAAATAAATAGAAGCCCATTGCTTGTCATGCTTAGTACAACTTAATCGTTGTTAGTTCTGTGCCATAGGGGATTATTTGTGACAGCTTGCACAAGCCAATTATAATGTCTATTGGTACTAAAATCAAGTATTTTCCTTTTGGGACACATACAGCCTCCACGGCCCCACCCTCCCTCTGATGCCCCCCCAACACACACAATCTTATGTGAGTTCTTATTCGATCCAGCCATATCATATGCTCAAGTTCTCTAGTCATTTCGAATTCTTAGTCGTTACTGGTGCATTCCTCACTTTTGCTCTTGGACTTCACTTTTACTGTACTTTGTCAACTTCGGGGCACTTTAGGGTGCAGTTATCACATTGTTATGTTAGAACTATGGGATAATCTACATTTATAAATCTCTAAAAGCTCCTGGTATGAACTAGGAAGTACCTACCTTGCAAGCAAAAGGATCAATAGCATCAATAAACTCATTTCATGAAAAATTTCAAATTTCATTATGGCTACAACATCTAATGCATTTGATTGTCTTAGCTTAACTTTGTTCTGAAGAAGTTAATGTCGGTTTTATATGACTGACAAAAGGAGTTCAAAATTCAGTGTAGCTATTAATTTGGATACTTTTTGAGTCATACTTTTAGTGTAGATAATTAATTTGAATTTTCTGTTCATAAGATTTTGGTGTAGATAATTTTGTACTTGGACTACTACAATGCAGGTTTATCATTATACATTTTTTGTTGTTGTTGTGATTTTGGTTTTGGTAACCATTGTATCTCTTGCTGAGGCAAACAACACTTGTTAATTACTGGTGTGTTGTGTTAGCAACTATAAAAGTCTTCTCCAATGATTTAATGCTGGTGTCAACAATCATGAATTATCTCGTGTGTGTCTAATAGTTGTGGTACTTCAAATTATTGCACTTGAAACTCTCTATCTGAATTGTTATTATCTTATAGTTTTTTTTAAAATTTTAAGAGTCACTGATAAATTATATTTCATATTGGTGTATCAAGAGTAGTCACTTTGTATAAAGTAATGTCTAAAGTATCATATTGGTGTATCAAGAGTAGTCACTTTGTACAATGTAATTTTCCTCTCCCAAGTCCCAACCTAAGTCACACGGAGTTGGTGTGGGAGCGGGAGCTCGAAAACGACAACATGTAAGTCACACATAGTTGGATTGGGAACAAGGGTGTGCGTGGAGCATGAGTGCGCCACCCATTTAGAAGAATTGTGTGACGTCCAAACACTACACATATGCAGGATCACTTTGTACAATTTAATTTTCCTCTCCCAAGTCCCAACCTAAGTCAGATGGAGCTGGTGTGGGAGCGGGGGTGGGAGCTTGAAAACGACAAGATCTAAGTCACACATAGTTGGTTTGGGAACAAGGGTGTGCGCGGAGCATGAGTGCGCCACCCATTTAGAAGAATTGTGTGACGTCCAAACACTACACATATGCAGGATCACTGGGTTGCATTATTTGTATTGCTGTCTTGGTGAAAAGTCCTTTTTTGTTTTCATCAAGCCAAAGCCGTGCATCCATAGAATAATTTGAAGTGGTGTGAGAATACCACTCATACTAATTGAACCTCTCAATTTTGACCTATTCAGGTCACCTTATTCTCTGAACACATATGACTTCATTTACTTGTTTATTAAAAATTTCTAAGGTCCTTCTAGCATGTCTAGGAAAATGATGGCTGTAACCTATGGGTATCCAATGCTTTGCTTTCCAGTCGCACGCAGTATAAAGAAGGTCACTAACCATTGTGGTCTCCATAATTGAGAGTCCTTGGAGGAGTGGGTTGGGTATGGATCTTTTTGCATTATTTGTGCACATAAATACCCTTGGACTCTTGGACTCGTACATGCATTCTCATGTTTGATAGCCCCTCCTTTATCACGTACAAGAGTATAATATGCTAAATCAACCTAACTTTTTCCGTTCATTTTTTTTAATGTGTTGTTGATGTGTACACAATTAGCTACAGTGGTTTTTTTGGGGACAGAAAGGGCAGTTGTCCAACTGAAGGAATCTTAGTATAGTATAGAAACTAAAAAACATATAAAAGTAACGATAGCAAATTCTCCACTGAAATCAAGTTAGCAGTATGAAAGAAGCAAACCAATATATTTATGTGTATGATGCTCTAGAAATGATATGTAATATCTAGAATTATAATTGAATGACTAAAATTAAATGGAACTTTTCCCAGAGAAGTGCAGATTTTGCATGGGAACTGGCAGTGTGACAGTGAATCTTGGTGGGGACGAGAAAGAAGTCTCACGATGCATTAATTGTGACGGTGCTGGTAATTTGACGTGCACCACCTGTCAAGGCTCTGGAATTCAACCTAGATACCTTGATCGCAGGTATGAGACTTTAGTCATGGTTTTTATCATTTATGCAACAAAGCTGATCAGAAAACAGGAAGTTTTCCTCTATATGCACATTATGATCATTTGGATTCAAGCTCACAGTTGAGCAATATTAAATGAAAAACCAAGTTCAGAAAGCTACTGTTGCAATTTGAGATATGAAGAGCCAGAAGTAGATTTCTTCTATAACTAGTTTGTTATTACCAGAATCACAGAGCAATAATAAAAAAAAAAAAAAATCTCTTTTTTTGGCAATTTTGCTTCTGGGATGATGAGAATCGTATGCTTCCTCTTGGATGAATGAGATTAGTGAAAAATATGGTTTTTGGCTGTTTTTTTTGGTTAAACAGAGAATTCAAAGATGATGATTAGTGATGGATTCTGGACTCAAGTTGCGGACTATTTAATTCAATTGTGAAAAAGCTGAGGAACCAACACGCCTTTGTAAAACACCTTCCCCACATATGTTCAATTTCTCCCTTCCCCCCTCAAATTGTCAAATTCTTTCTGATGCCTTTATATTATGTATGATTCAACCAGCAATACACATCCTTTTTTGTAACAATTGATTTGTGGATTTTTGACTGATGTTCATTTCACATGTCGGATTTAAATTCAATGGATTACTTTCAAATGAGTACTGCAAACAAAGCCGGATGTCAGTGACCTGTCGGACGAACCAAATCCTCATTGAATTTTATTCTTCCAGTAGAAAGCACTCAAGCATGGACTATATATTGAGTTTATCTTGTCCTCGGCTTTGCGGTTTCTAAACATGCTAGTAGATGCTACTGAGTGTTTGCTCTTAAACCATTGCAGCAGCTCATCATTTTTCTTTGTGCTGCTGCTGCCTCCATAACTATATATATATATATAATGATGAGCTGCTGCAATTGTTTAAGAGCAAACACTCAGTAGCATCTACTAGCATGTTTAGAAACCACAAAGCCGAGGACAAGATAAACTCAATATATAGTCCATGCTTGTATATATATACTGTCTTGGGGAAGCTGGGGTTTCATTGATATAATACATGTCTGGGATATGCCCCTTGAACTATATCTTCCCATTTCTGGCCACCTCATGAAGCTGTGATATATACAAGAAAATATTGCACAATTTTGTCCATACAATAGTGAAACGACCTGATCGACGAACTTTATTATCTTTCAACCTTTTTAATTAGTACTTGCTCACATGATACTACATGTATCAATTTTCATTCAGGGCCCAAAGAATATGATATACACGTTCAAAAATCATGCATGTCAAAAACCAAAATTTGTCTCAATCAAAGGAAATGTGCTCTATTCTAAAAAAAAAGTTGTTTTAAACATTTAATGGTAACATACGGGTGTTGTTACCCCCATTGGAGAAACCCGAAATAAAATTGAATTTTGTGGAGTCCCAAAAATTTATTAATGGTAACATATGGCTAATAAGATAAAAAATAATAATAATACAATATGGAAATAATGTGAAAAAATATTAAATCGTCGACAGCAGGGTTCGAACCTGCGCGGGCGAAGCCCAACAGATTTCAAGTCTGTCTCCTTAACCACTCGGACATATCGACGGTCTGTCCTTCTGTTACGAAGACTATTATATATAATACAGAATAAAGGATTTCTTTCAGAAAAAATGTGTTCATCAAAACCCAACCACGATTTAGGGTTTAACTATCTGCTGAGTGCTGAAACAAACCCAAGGGCTTTTGTCCAGATTGTTGATCATCATCATCAGAAGAAGCTTGTATCCCTCTATATATAAGCTTGTATTTCTCTCTCTATATATATTTATATATAAATCAGAAGACAGAAGAAAAGGGATGTTGTATATAATAGGTCTGGGTTTGGGGAACGAGAAAGACATCACCCTCAGAGGTCTCGAAGCGGTGAAGAGATGTCACAAGGTGTACATAGAGGCCTACACTTCTCTCCTCTCTTTCGGCCTCTCTTCTCATGGTCTCTCAACTCTGGTACAACCTCTCTTACTCTCTCTCTCCTTGATCTCTGAATTATCATCAATCTTGTATGTAACATACATTGTCGATTTTTTGAATTCGGGAAAAAGAAATGAAATTTAGAAACTTGTCAATTTTAAATATTTCACTATAATATTTGTTAAACTAATTTGAAAGACTTGTCAATTTCATTTTCTCTTAATTTGTAAATAAATTTCAATTCCTTTGCAGGAGGAACTGTATGGGAAGTCAGTCACGCTTGCAGACAGAGAGATGGTTGAAGAAAAAGCAGACGATATACTGTCCGAAGCTCGTGGGTCTGATGTTGGTTTCCTTGTAGTTGGTGACCCTTTTGGGTATGAATTTGCTTTTATGGTCATTGAATATTTTGCTGCTAGAGTGGTTTATTGTTAATCAATTATTTGTGTTGTTTTGCATTATAATTCGATTCTTTTGTCTATATGTTTTCGGTGTTAGATATGTACATTATAAAGGAGTTTTGAGTTGTTCAATCGGGTGTGGATAATTATGTTATTTGTTCTTGAAATTTATTTAGGCATCGTTAGTTGATTTGTACATGATGCTTCAAGTTGCTAAAATATGTTGGTTTATGGCTACAATGAAGCTTGGGAAACATACGCAGGAAACAGGATGAGTTTGGAGTCACCATAATCTTGCTGCCTTGAACATCGGTGCCCAAAACTATTGCAAAAATTCATAGTAAATATATAATAAATTTTAGAATTCAATTTGAAGTGTAAATAGTGAGTTGGTGCTCAAATGAATATTAGAAATTATTGGTGGTGCGATTGTTGGTATCGTTTGGATGTTTTCAAATAGATTGATCTCATTAAGTAGAGTAATTTCAACTTTCTGACTATCCTTTGTGACATGTACTGTATAACATTGTGAGCCACAGGCAGAAAAGAAGAAGGTAGGGGTAGGGTGCTTTGCATTTATTATGAAGCTCAGAATTCCAAGGAATAATTTTGCCTGATAATTTTCTTTGCACAGTATTTATAACCAACGGAAGGCAAAAAAGAATAGATAGCTTAACATACATGTGCTTTCTTGTTTCTTCATGTTCATAAATGTTTCTATTGGGTGTTCTTTATTGATTGGCTTCACTAACTGTCATCTTTCTCTTGTCTCCTAAAATCAATTGCAGAGCAACAACACACACTGATCTTGTTGTTCGAGCGAAGAAGTTGGGGGTGGAAGTCGAGGTGGTACACAATGCATCAGTGATGAATGCAGTCGGAATTTGTGGTCTACAACTATATCGTTATGGAGAGACTGTTTCCATACCTTTTTTTACTGAAACATGGAGGCCTGATAGTTTTTATGAGAAAATTCAAAGAAATCGCAAGCTTGGATTGCACACTCTTTGCTTGTTAGGTGAAAACATCGCTTTTACTGCTTAGATTGTTGATATTTGTAAACAAACTATTACTTTTTTTAGTTATTGAAACCTTTGGCTGCTTTTATCGTGTGACCTATCAAAATTGTATAACATCATGACCCTTCATATGAACTACTTCATGGCATCAAATCCCATTCAGTACCCACACACATCCATTCTTTAAGTTTTTGTTATTTTTTTCATATTAAGTTTGCTATGTTCTAGTTCTTGGTCTTTAAGAAACCCATTCGTAAGATGAAGATCTTAGATATTAAGATGTGATCTATATATCAAGAGGCACCAGAGACATACGATGTATCTTGTCGTAGTCTTATTATAGTGATGATAGGCTATTGTCCCTTCATATTGGAACCCATCAATTTAACTGCCGTTGAACAATTAAAATCTCTCCTTTATTCCTAATGCCGTGACATCAAAGACCCACATCTTGTTCTTTGTTTCTCATTTATCCTTTATGAACGGTTAAACACAATCATTTTCTTTTGACTCGGATGAAAAAGATGGAAAATTTAAATCTTAAGATTTTTGCTGTACTGAGTGAAAAGTCAGTAATTTTGTTTATTTTTGGTGTGATTATCTTGAAATACTCATTGCACATATCTTAAATCTGCAGATATACGTGTGAAGGAACCCACATTGGAATCCTTGTGCAGGTCAGAAATTCAGATTGATTCTGAATCTTTTATTTTATTTTATTTTTACATGACTTCTTTTATTAATTTTTTGTTTGGCATTCTTTCGCTGCCGCTTAGACTTTATAAATTGGTTTGCCCTTATGATATTCTCAGAGGAAAAAAACAGTATGAACCACCAAGATATATGACAATAAGCAATGCAGTTGAGCAACTATTGGAGGTGGAGCAAAAGCATGGAGAATTTGGTATTTTTTATTTGTTATTTTTAATTCCTTTTTCCTATTGGTAAATACAGTCACACAACTAGGAAAAAAATATACTCACACACAAACATGTGTTATTGTTGGGACTTGAACCCTCAACCATCCCTATGGGGAGGTGGAGGACATACCACTCAAGCCAAGGCTTTGGTGGTAAAATCTGATAATTTTTAATTTTTTAAACACATTAATCATGAGTTTTAACCTTCTCTGGCCACCTTTGTCTTCACTTTGGTATATTTGAGTTTCCATTTCTTCAATTTGGTTGCTCAGAACCTATTATTTACCAATGTTTTGCTGGCTTGCTGGTAAGATGATTCGGTTGAGTTTGATCTCCCCCCCCCCCCCTCCAAAAATAAAGGGGAACAAAAAGAAAAAGATAAAAAAGAATCTCCTAATCCGTACACAGGGCATGAACATGTTTGTATCTAAGGAAAAAATTGTTGCCCAGTCTGGTTGTTGTAGTTTACTGCGGCGTTCTTGTATGCACAGTGCCAAAAAATCCTGATGATCCACCATTAGAATACGCCATGTTAAATCGTATGATGGGAAGATTTTATATTCTAAATTTTAAACATAATATTTGAATTGTAGAGGATTCTTTTTGGGTACAAGGAAAGTTTGGTGAATGTATTATCATGATCATTTGATTGTGTAAAATATTATTACTGGGTCATATTGCCATGCTATTGGAGGCAGGAATAGGATGTATTGATTGGCTTTGTTCGGTTTGCTCAATTCTTGTTTTAATTTGGTAAATTCATTTGTCATGTATTGTTATTTAACAGCAAGAGCTTGACTTTATATTTGTTATTATTAGGTCACTAATTTTCACTCAGAAACTTTCTCATAATATGGTGTTTAGTTTTATTGGGGAGACCAGTGTTCAGGTCAACTATTTATTTTGGGGTTGGCTCATGGTATGATTATAGGTTTTAAAGTGTAAATAAGATGTAGGGATGAATAATAAGAGATGAAGATTGACTGGAACAATATCAGAAGATGTCTGCCACACTTATTGAAAGAGTTGCAATATGAAATGCCTTAGAACCGATTTGCACGTTTTATGCTTAAAGCTCTCAGCATCTGACCAGTCTGAATAATTTATAGAAGTGTTAAATTAAAAAGAAATAACTATTATAATTTACAAGCTGTTTCTTGAAGGGTATGTAGGGGGAATCCCAAGTGACCTCGATAAATGAGGTTTGGACTTGGGAGGTTAAGCTCCTGGACACTATGGTGGCAGGGGTAAGGGTTGTGGAAGTTGGGTAGGATGAGGTGTTGCAACTCACTCGTGCTTGTTTTGGTGTGTAGGGGTTAAAAAACACCATACAGGCAATGTGATATCATTATTATTATTATTATTTTTGCAATTTATTGAGATTCTCTTTATGCAGCATACAAATTTATTTCTGGCCTTTTTGAACAGCCGGGTGTCAAAGCAAACTCCTGTTTGTTTTAATTAGATTGCCGATCATTGAATCTTACAATGTTCTAATTAAGTATTTTTACTGTATTGCCAAGGAACTTTAATTGGTCATTTGTCTCTCAAGATTGAGGAAGCAAACTCACAGATGTAAAAGTTAATAGACACTGGGAAAAAAAATATAAAAAAAAAAATAAGAAAATCTGGGCAGAACCTGTAAACGAGGTCATTTTTCCTACTGTTGGGACCCTGTTTTGGTATTTCTCCCCTTAGGTGGGCTTGTCATGGTGAATTTCAGTTATATGTGTTCTAATCGTACAACAAAAGCCAAGCTGCTTCTGCACCTCTTGCCCTGACAATAGGGTTGTGTTTTATTACCTCTTGTATCACTGCCTTCTTGAATGTCCAACTTCTTCCAGAATTTCCCTTGTTTGGCCTTTGTGTTTTTGAGGGAGTCCAAGTAATAATATTATGTTTTTTGTACTAATTTTCTTCTCGGTTGCTATTTGCAGCATACAATGAAGAAACTACTTGCGTTGGTTTTGCCAGATTGGGGAGCGAGGATCAAATGGTAGTTGCAGGTTCAATGAGGCAATTGCTTACAGTCGACTTTGGAGGACCTTTACATTGCATTGTCATAGTTGGCGAAACTCATCCATTGGAGGAAGAAATGCTGGTTTTTTATACAATTGAAGGAGGAAATCCAACACAAACTCCATAATTCTCAAAAGAATTTATTTATTGTTGTATTCATAATCTGTTTCTTGTAATATTTTTTACCTCCATTTTGTAACTCCTAATTTTGTTATCTTCGGAGGCACTGCTTGTCTTTTAGACCATTCAGAAAAAAAATATTTTCAGTCATCATATCTTATTGATGATTTATATTGTTTTATCAGATGTGCACTTGTCAAATATTTTTGTTGACGACATTTTGTATGGTCATTTATTTTAAGACTACATAGCTAAGGATTAGGACCATTGTCTGCTGGATCATTTGGTAAATATGCATTGGCATTGAGGGTAAATTAGTACCAAGTTGATACTATTGGTCTTGCAAAACTTGGATACGAATTGAATCATAATGATGAATTTTGAGTATAATAATATTAACCATGTTTAACCTAATAAAGCCTTATTCAATCCGATTTTTGTGACTTGTATTATCTACCCAAGGAGTGCATTTTAATATTTAAATCTACTAAAATAGAAAAAGAAAATAATTTTACTAATATTTATTGTAAATGAGGGTTAAAGTTCAAAAAATGTGCACATATCACCTTAGCTTGAAATGATGCAAGCTTATGTTAGCAAAACGTACAATCAATCAGATGACACCAAATATATACATATCACGGTTCGTCCAAATTGGTTTGATTTTTTTGAACTAGAACCAAACCGTTGAGTCAAAGAACCGAACCGAACGAAACAGCACTGTTTGAATTGGCCCGGATCACATTGACAGTTTGAACGGTGTTGTGTGCAACCCCATCACTAGAACATCATCTCATCCTTGTTCTTCCTCTGGCAAAGCAGAACATTTCATACATTAACCATAAAGTCTTACATTATGAACACCATGATCTTGATACCATCTCTTAACCAAAACTGTCATCCCAACATTAGGGTCCATTACTGCACTTCCCTTGCAACCATGCCGAACGTATTTTGTTTCCTTTAAGAGAGATGAATGTCTCTCTCAGATTGGGGTCCTCGAAGAGATCCAGAGCAGCAAAGTATAGACCATCCTGAATCCCTTCCATCTCATCCAAAGCTTTGATGCATTTAGTTATTGTAAATCTGTCATCACTCTGAGGCGTGGCAACCATCCTCGACTTTGAAGCAGCAACCATCTCTAACATAGCGCCTGCCATGGCATCAAATATTTCTTGATCTTTCCTGCTTCTGCCTGGAGAAGAGCCTGCTTCCGATGGACGCTTTCTCTTTCTCTCTGCGGTGTTCTTGCTCGTATTTTGTGCTGAAGAAGCATTTCCTTGTGCAAATCTTGATGATGGAGTTTTTGGATGTGGGCTTTCACTTTCTTGATGTAAAGTTAATGCTGCTGGGATTTTCCCATGAGACTTGTCCAATTCTTCATAGTGACTTGATTGGGCATATTTCCCATCACTCCCCGAGTCTGCAAATATTGTGCATAGCTGATCATAAATGGGACAATCCTTAATCTTGGTTGTTTCGGGCTTAGGTTGTGCCTAAAGTAAACAATTAAATCAGAACACAATAATAATACTAATAACAACAACGTTAATAATATTATTTTAAGGAAAAGCTAACGCTAAGGAAACGTACAACAATGTCTTCCCAGAGGTCAAATCCAATGCAACAAGAATCTTCCATAGTGAAGTCATTTTGATCATAAGCAGACTTCAGATTATAGTAACGTGTCCGCAACACATCTAAATGCTTCCTCAATTGGTTGTTATTGAAGTTGAGATTTGTTTGCTTATTAAATTCATTGCGTATATGGTTCCAAGTTTTTTTGTCAAAAATATTGTTTGGTCTGTTCCCAAGTTGAATCTGCTCAACAACCAAGTCTGAAAATATCTTGTCAAGGGATGCTGTCCATCTAGTTCTTAACCGTTCTTGCTGCTTGGGTTGTTGGTCACTGGCTTCACTATCCATCTGCAACTTCGGGAGGTGAATTCAAAGTCAATAACAGCAATCAGCATAAAATAATGCCCAAAAAGACAATGAACTTTAAGGTAACAAACCACCAATCCACCACCATCAAAAACAAACACACACACAGATGGTCATTTCACCCAGAAGAATTAATAAATAACGAATTCATGGTTGTCTTTATCAAGGCACCCTGCAGCTCCAGCAACCAACACAACTTGAACACTTCCATTTCACAAATTTAGAGCAACACAGGCACTGTTTTTACATGCAGTGAGATACTAAAATGTTCCTCACAAGAATTATCATGTTCTATGTTTTTTTACTCAAAATGTCTTGATTTTGCACCTTTTGCAAGTGTGTATCAGAGGCACAATGATAATTCATTGGTCATAATAGGCAATCATGTTCTTTAGTTATGACAATTTAGAACATAATTAGCATCTCAAACATTATCTAATTGATTGTTGTGTTATCTAGATTGCCCCCTTCATTTTTTCAACATAAGATACAGAACTATTGCATGCCCAAGAAAGCAAACGCTATGATACTGCCATGAACACAATAAATGATGATACGATTAATGGCAAAATTTTTAGATGCCCAGTGGATAATAAGCACGGAGCACCTTACACAACTAGGTAACATATATTAAGAGAGGTGAGGTCTGGATACGGGACTTACTATTTATAGTCAAGGGATTTTAAGTGTTAAAATTCTCAAGGAATTAAGACCGTTCACCAATGCACCAGACCTTCGGCTAAAGCCATATTGGTGGTTGAAATTTTTCAAAGAAATCTAATAATGTCGGTATACTACAAAGAAATATGAGCTGCCTATTACTACTAATAGGACCACCGTATTCATAAACAACATAAACGATCACGCTCACCATGCGAAATCACACGATGTTAATGAGCATAGCTAATTAAAGACCTAGAGAAAGATTATTTAGCCTAATCAAAACGAACATTTCATACAAAAGCATGACCAATGGATGAGTGGCAGGCTAGAAAAGATAAAATTAGAAATTAATAAATTCATCATTCTTATGAGAAAAAAAAAAAAAAAAAAAAAAAAAAAAAAAAAAAAAAAAAAACACTGCATGGCCATGTGTATGATATTCAATTTCTTCTGGAAATTTTTTGGACAACTAGTGTCCTAAAGTTTCTAAGAGTGACGAAAAGAGTAGCATTAGACATAGAGACGCACATGGATATGGCTGCTCCTTAGAAGTATCTAGACTTCATAGCTCATACTAATGGATCCCAAGGGACAAATGTTTAAATTAAGGGCAATGATTTTTTAAACCTACAAGCTACAGAATGGAGATTCAAATGCAGCTTAGGTAACATTGCCCCTACTAAGACATGACACCAGTAAAAACAAAAAAAGGACAGTTGTAATAAAGTTGTCCATGTGAATTCACCCTATCTACTAATTATATAGCATTTAAATCCCAACGAAAGAAAATGCTTTGAGAAACTCTTAAACATTTTTTTGACTTGTTCCTAACACTGATTTTTTTTAACTAATTAATTTAGAACACGATCAATTATTATTATTATGTCAATCAAAAACTGTCCAGGAGAGAATTTAATCTATTAAAGCGGAATTCTCTAGTATCATCAATACATTATTAAGAAATCTTTCAAGCAGCAGTGAAAATACCTGATCGACGAACACCACTAACAAGGTACATCTTTTCTTACATTCACATACACTTTTTGCCAACGTCGGACTCAAGTCCCTCCTCCTCTATTTTTATAATTTCTAAACACATTTATGATCTAGTATTGGAATGAGAGCTTTTAGTCCCTCTGTGTTTGATTTGTACTTACAAAGTGTTTATCTTAATTGGTTTTGCCCACATTGGACTCAAGTCCCTCCCCCTCCATTTTTAAAATTTCTAAACATACATACATATATTTATATATATGGGAAAGCTAACATCCTTCTTTCATGGGGATGATAAGCTTGTCCCGTGACAAATATGACCTTAATGCCATAATATGTAACCCATCTACTATAAGGTTATTTCTGGAATTTTAAACAATGATTCTATTCTGCTCTCTCCTCTTCAATTTACAACTCTCAAAAACACAGCAACACCGTCCGACGTCAACACCACCATAACCGTCAGCGCAACCACCTCCATAACCGGCAGCTGGTGGTGGCGCCGCTGGATATTGTGGTAATGGTGCTGCCGGTTATAGAGGCGGTTGCACCGGCGTTTATGGTGGTGTTAACGTCGGACGGTGTTGCTGTGTTTGTGAGAGTTGTAAATTGAAGAGGAGAGAACATAATAGATTCATTGTTTTAAATTCCATAAAAAACCTTATAGCAGATGGGTTACATATTATGCATTAAGGTCATATTTGTCACCGGACAAGCTTATCATCCCCATGAAAGAAGGATGTTAGCTTTCCCACATATATATATATATATATATATGTATGTATGTTTATAAATTTTAAAAATAGAGGGTAGGGACTTGAGTCCAATGTGGGCAAAACCAATTAAGATAAACACTTTGTAAGCACAAATCAAACACAGAGGGACTAAAAGCTCTCATTCCAATACTAGATCATATATGTGTGTGTGTGTGTGTGTGTGTGTGTGTGTGTGTTTAGAAATTATAATTTACAAAAATAGAGGAGGAGGGACTTGAGTCCGACGTTTATGTGAATGTAGAAAAAAATGTAAGAAAAGATGTACCTTGTTCATGTTGTTCGTCGATCAGGTCTTTTCAATGCTACTTGAAAGATTTCTTAAAAATGTATTGACAATACTAAAGAATTCCACTTTAATAGATAAAATTTTCTCTCCTGGACAATTTTTGATTGACATAATAATAATAATTGATCATGTTCTAAATTAGTTATAAAGTTAAAAAAAATTGGTGTTGGTACCACAAGTCAAAAAAATGTTTTAAAAGTTTCCCAAACCATTTTCTTTCGTTGGGATTTAAATGCTATATAGTTAGTAGATAGGGTGAATTCACATGAACAACTTTATACAACTGTCCTTTTTTTGGTATTTTTTTGAGTTACCTAAAAATTTCACTCTCATACACACACACATCTATATTTACTAAATTTTCTATTGGATTTGTTTTAGACACGCTATGCACTGGACAACTGATCATCAGGACAGTAGCGATGTCATCGTTGAGGTTAAGGTGATGCAATCATAAGTAATGATTTTCAAAACCTACAAGCTACAGAATGGAGATTCAAATGCAGCGTAGGCAACATTGTTTTGAGATTTCATATGCAATCATAAGTAATGACCAACAACTCTTGCTGCTGGGGTGAGGGCTCCAGGGGTGGGAGTTGTTGGGGTTGGGAATCCTAACCTACCCCAACAACTCCCACCCCGGGAACCCTTGTGATGTCATCGTTAAGGTTGAGGTGATGCAATCATAAGTAATGATTTTCAAAACCTACAAGCTACAGAATGGAGATTCAAATGCAGCATAGGCAACATTGTTTTGGGATTTCATATGCAATCATGAGTAATGATCAACAACTCTTGCTGCTGGGGTAAGGGCTCCTGGGGTGGGAGTTGTTGGGGTGGGGGGTCCTAACCTACCACAACAACTCCCACCCCAGGAACCCTCACCCCAAAACCAATAGTCATCAAGGTAAATTTTTATCTAAAAATTTCGCTCTCATACACACACACACACACACACACATATCTATATTTACTAATTTTTCTATTGGATTTGTTTTAGACACGCTACGCACTCAACAACTGATCATCAAGATAGTACCGATGCCATCGTTGAGGTTGAGGCAATTCAATCGAAAGTAATGATTTTCAAAACCTACAAGTTACAGAATGGAGATTCAAATGCAGCATAGGCAACATTGTTTTGAGATTTCATATTCTTCTTTACTTTTGATCAATTATATTTAAAGCTGTTTTTTTATGTTTCGAAAATTATTAAGGAGGCTTTTCCAATAAGCGGGGACAGTTGTGCAAGATAGGACAAAGCTAATTGTTGCTTTTTAATTTGATAGACATCACAAATCTAGTCAAATATACTTATGTTCTTCTTTTTCTTTTAATAGTTGATATGACCATACCAGTAATGAAAAATGTACTATATTTTTCTTTAGCCTCCATTTCACAAAAAAATTTACATGTAAAAGTAAAAATCTCTTTATCTAATTTATGATGTTTGAAATATATATATATTTCAAAAAAGCTTTTTCATCAATAATAGATACACGTAACTTCCAACATCTATTACGCTCATAATTGCCTAGGTGAATTCCCCGCAAGCAGCCTTTGTCCTTCTCCATACGTATATGTATCAAAATCGTCCGGAGTCCATAGACTCTCTCCAAACTCTAACCCCTCTTTTCACATCAAAACCCCTTTCCTTCTCTCATTTTCTCTCTCTATACACACACACACATATATATATATGTATATTGAACAACCATTAGGGTCCATAATCCTACAGCCCTTGCTTATCCTATGCACCCCACCCTACCTTCATCCCCATGTATCTGCTCTTGATCTTAGGTCGGGCTCACTGAGGACGTGATCAAGGAGTTCAACAGTACCTCTAGCTATCTACATCATTGGATGCACATCTACACCACCTTGATGTTGGATACAAATTTGTTCACCATGTTTATGTAAAATATTTTCTTTATTATTGGATGGTAATCTTATGACTTAAGGAAATTAGATCTTTAAGTCATTTTCCTCATGAAGTTGTAAAAGTGAAAACATATTAAGGTTTTTCAATCAAATTTATGAGTTACAAAACACTGAAAAGAGGGAAACATCTTCCGTAAGATGTTTTACATCGAAACAAGATGGAGCCTTAATCTCAAAAGTAGAACTAAAATAAAGATAAATAAATAAATAAAGATTGCTAATCGAGGCTTGAAGCATTTATCTATGCGGTGTGATTGTTTAATTAGTGAGTGATTTGATCATGCAATTTGAATTTCATAAAAACAAATAATGATGATTGTGATCACATCCCAAAAAAAAAAAAAAAAAAAAAAAACACACACACACACAAATTCACTGAATACTACTATTACATACAATTATAAGAAGATGTAAGAAATTGGGAAATTAAAAAATTAAGTAGAGCATGAAGGGACAAATAAAGGCTGTTGAGCCGCAGAGGTTTGCTTACGTAACAGTTACTACACCTAAAGATTGCCTGGGCACTATGGTAGGCACTTAAGTGATCCGCTATGCACTTTTTGTATACACAATATAACACCCAGTACATGTATCATTGTTGTTGCTGCATGAACAGCACATTACTCAAAAGTAAGAAAACTTTTGAATAATATAACTTTGATTAAGAGTTATACTAATTAAAGTTGCTCAGGAATTGATCAAAAGATTCATTTCAAAGGTAAGTTTGCAAAGGAAAATTGCATGTAGCCCCTTCAAAGTCCATTGGATCCACTTATTCTTCCTCTTGAAAATTCAAATCTAGCGAAAAATGTGTTCACTATTGTCTAGTTCTCGCCACAGTATATTAAGACTTCATTCACAGACACACACATAAATTATTTGTTCAAGTAGAAGAAAAGGAATGCTAAACACTTGACTGACTCATTTTTTGTTTGTAAGCATATTGTCATCTCTATCTCTTTTTTTTATTTATTTTTTCATATCAATTTCTAGTCTCTATTTATTAAAGTTGTATTCTCTTCTTCATTTTTAAGTCATATATTCTTCATTTTTTTAGGTTATGTTAAGGACCCGAAAAACAATAGCGTGGACGCTCCTGGTCACGCCTTTACAATCATTGGATTACAATACTGTGAGGTAGCCTGAGAATTAAGAATATACATTATGAATTGAATTGTAAGAAAGGTAAATATATATATATATATATATATACACAGTTGTTTTAAAAAAAATTCAAATTTAACTTCATCTCACTAGTTTGGCACCCAAATAAATATTTCTGGCTCCACCAACCAGACGCACCCATGTTTACAATGAAAATCCACCACTCAGACTTTGTTCCACTATAAACCCTAGAAACAAAACCCATACATTGACGCTCACTTGATCACCAAAACTTTTTATTAAATAATTAATTATAAACGATCTGTAGATATGCATATATATACACACAGCTTTCACAACTATATAACTTACCAAATGAAGGCAAGAATTGCAATTCAAATCGGTTGAACGTGTAAATATGTAATGGAGAAGAGGTAAAACCAAATAATATACAAGAAAAAGAAGATGTATATATGTCGAGTTTGTACCTGAATAGAGATACGACCAGCTAGTCGCCGGAAAATTCAGAATTCGACGGAGGTGGAGGAAGGCAAACGGAGCGGCGAGCCCGAGTTCCGTCCAAACAAAACAGAATTAGGTCTAATTTACCTTTTATTTATTTTAAGGGTTATATTTGTAATTAAGTAAAAGGTAAAGTCCTTACGAGCTGGTTTTCATTACTCAACCAATAGCAACAAAGCTGCAGTCAATCTCGTTGGGCTCAAGTATACTTGATAAAATCCAATTTATTTTATCTTTTTATTTTTTTTTGGGGATAGATTTTTCTCTAAACCTACAATTTTAATGGATTAAGTTGAAGGAAAAAAAAAAAAAAAGGAGGAGAGGAGCAAAACAATATTTAATTTGAAAATAAGGAGGGAAAGGAAATGAAAAAGGAGGTAAAATATATATATATATATATATATATATATATATATATATATATATATGTTTGTTAGCATGGGATCTCTAAGAAATGAAGATAAGATAGTAATCACTCATTTTGTTTGTTTGTTTTACTTTTTCTCAAACTTTATCGATTGTTCTCCTTAGAGCATCTCCGTGGGCTCTTTGAATTTAGACTTTCCGAATTTGTTACATTAGTATTTTTAATAGCCGCGTCAGTATGTTAGAGTCTTCAAATTTTAGTTATCACATGTACTCCAATGGTGCATTTTTGCTCTCCAAAAATATTAATATTTTAATAATTTTAAAATTTTTAATATTGTGTAATGTTTTATTTGAAATAAATAATTAAATCCAAAAATATTAATATTTTAATAATTTTAAAATTTTTAATATTGTGTAATGTTTTATTTGAAATGAATAATTAAATTATTTGTTGATTAAATTATTTAGCCAATATGTATGAAATCTTGTAAACAATACAATATCTAATATTATTTGATTTATAAATTTATATTGAAAACAAAGACAAGTTTTTTTTAATAAAAAAATCATATTTTAAAATAAATTTCAATATGTTAGGGAAAACAAATAAATAAAAAAAAATTGTTTCGTTAGCCAATGTAGCCATTAAGGCACTGTTTGAGTCAGCCAAATAGTACCTAAAATGGCTATAATGTCAATAGGAACATTAAAAATTTTGAAAAGAAAATAAAATCACTTTTTTCAAATTTTCAAAACTTTTTTTTTTGCCCAAAAAAGCCTTTAAGACACTGTTAGCCAAACAGTGCCTTAACTGCTATTTGGTTCAATTATTGAGAGGAAAAAAACGAAGAAGCCAAAAATCTGTTATTTAGCTTTTTTTTCAAACAAACATGCCTTTAGGAACAGTGTTCTGGCCCAAAGTTAAAAAATTAAAACAAAACAAAGGCGGGCCTGCGCCTCGCCTAGAGGGTGCTATATTCCGCGACCCATTGAATGGGGTCCAATTTTTGGAAATGCTATTGGAGCAATCCAATAGCGAAAAAAAGGCCCAAAATCTCTAAAGTCTGGGCCATTGGAATGGATCTTAGACCCCACTTGCAATGGGGAGAGTCCCATTTTTTTTTTTTTTTTTTTCCTAGTTGGGAAACTCACACACACTGTCTCCACTGAGGTTCGAACCCCTAACCTCCCTTTGGAAAGCAAGAGCCTTATACTGTTAGGCCATAGGCCTGTTGGTAGAGTCCCATTAGACTAATCCTTTAAAGAGCATCTCGTTGATCCTTTTTAGATCCCATTTGCAATAGCGAGAATTTCGTGCATTAGACTAGTCCTTTATAGGTTTTTTTTTTAAAGCTTCATCCATTTGATCCTCCTTAGACCCCACTTACCATGGCGAGAGCCTCGTATATTAGACTAGCCCTTTATAGTCATTTATATATGTACGTTATCTTATCAAACTAGAGGGAGGAAGAATTTAAACATGGACACACCCGTTTGAGGAGCTGGACGCTCTACCAACTAGGTCATTGAATAATGTTCAATTAGTTAGATTAGGTGCGCTCGAGCGCGTTAAGAATAAAAGCCATCCAATAACCCTTTGGACTATACAGGACCAATCCATCCTTCCTAATTCTTCTTTACTGACCGTTATACCCTTGGTGTATTCTCGGGTTCGAGTAAGGGCCCAATTTTTATATTTTTACTCGTTAATGATTCCGATTCAGGAATTTGATTCCTAACCTTCTGAATCTTATATTCAATTTTTATCCATCATCCTATAGGGCCAAATCCTGTCGAGCTGGGCTCAGTTTGGGCTGCAGGTTTCGGGCAATAAGAGTGGTGTGTTGTATCTCACTTTCAACAAAGGTCTTTAAATTTAGAAATCCATGGGACCGACCATAGTTAGCTATTCTAAGGTCTTTAACAATGTCAAATAACCTCTGTGGAGCATTCAGCCAAAGTTCAAAATTGAAGCTTTTCGTAGATAAAGAAAAAATATATATACAGAATAAATCTATTTACCAGTTCTTTTAGAAATTACCATTTCTTCTATATTGAATGCTTCCACTTCGTTAGCTTTATAAAGTAATTGTTATACGACTTTATAAATTTATTTGTGTAAGCAAGCATTATATATAGGAAAATGATTCTTACACTAAATAAATACCGTAAATTGCTAATTTTACTTTTTCTAATTGGTCAATTATACAACAAATAAGGAATTAGAGTCCTCCACTTAGTTATATTTGGTATAAATAGTCAATTAAAAATTATTCGATTAAGCAATTCACTATAAGTGTTTAATGTGACTGTGTGAATATCACTACTCTTATATGTGTATATATATTTTTCTTAGTGGTAAGCAAGGAAAGGCATTCAGTGTCACAGCACTATCAAATTTATTCCATCCTCACTTCTGAATCAGAGATGTGCTTAAAAAAAAAAAAAAAGATAATATGAAAGCTTGAGATACTTTATAAGAACCATGTAAACATAAATGATCAACTTTTCTAACTTTGAGACATAAATTTGTAAAGTCGAAGTAAACAAATTAACAATAATTAATAACCAAATAATAAGAATAAAAATAGACAATCAAGACATAATCCCTCTAATTATGCCATAGTGTCATCCAAGATGAACAGGAGCAATAATTCATAGCTTAGAGCACTGGTAGCAGACACCAAGTGGAACCATAGCCTAGTAGTACACATGTTGTAAGCAATCACAGAAATGGAGCCAACAAGAACACTGCTATCTGACACCAGGTGTAACCATAGCCTAGTAGTACATATGTAGTAAGCAATCACAGAAATGGAGCCAACAATAGTACCACATTGAGTGTGTCCAGATAATGTCGATCCCAAAATTGGAAAGAACATAATGGAAGAGGGTGTCACGACTAAAAAAGGCACAAAAGAAAAGGTTTTAGCACTACCTTTTGGTCCCTAATCATTTTCTCAACTTTCGGGTAAAAATGCAATGCCACACGCGGGCACTCAAACTAGTGGTCTGGCCTGTTAAGGACGCTGTCCCTTATCTTTATATTCAATTTTTGTAACCACAACATGTGTTGAGGGAGGGGCCACTCTCCACCACCAGCCCCCCTTTCCTCACTTGGACTGCCACACGTGTCACCTTTTTAAGGGTCTTATGGACTGGTCAATAACACATGGTTTGTACTTACTACTTTTGTAACAGATTTGGCCAGTCCCCTTTTTGGGTCTCTCTCTTCATTCTTATCCACTCTTTTCCATCAACATCTTAATCTGTTAATTGACTTCATCATTTATGTGAAATTTGAAAGTTGTATAATTTTAATTCATTTATGGATCATCGTATTAATTTTTACATAAAATTAGTCGAATTTATCGACTCTAGAGAATGACATTGTTTATATCAAGTGGTTGCAAATAATTTCTAAGGAATTCTAAGTAAATAGAAGGAAAATAGTTCTTTTTTTTTTTTTAATTATTTGGAAAAGAAAATATAGCTACGGACTCATGTTTACCGAGGAAAATTGGTTACATATGAGTCAAATGACTAGGATTATTACATTTCATTATTTCAATTATTTGAGATCGATTTGTTGTCATCCTTATCTTAATTTTATAAGAATGCTTTATTATCAATCTATTATATTTAGTATACTTTACGTGCCCTTCTAAATTACATTTCATGTCAACATTCCATTATTTCCCTAAATATTAAAAGGACAGAAAAAATGGAAAAGGAAAAATAGTAGTATAAGCTTCCATTGACCAGTCTTCTTTTCATTATTATTTATTTATTTATTTTTTTTGATGGTCCCGACAAATTAAGAGGAGGGCTGCAAACTAGGGGTGTTCAAAAAATCCGATAAATTCGAAAAACCGAATCGGGCCGAACTGAATTAATAATTTTTCGATCTGGTCCTTGTTTAGGGTCGTACTGGACCGGACCAGCCCGGACCGAATCATTACTATGTTATATAATATATATTTATATATATGTATATCATATCCTAAACCTAAATCAATTAAAATTCTCACGTGCCCCCTTTTTTTTTTTTTTTGTTCTTTAAATTTCTTAAATTTCTTTTTAAAAAAGTCAAATTTCTCTTTTCAAATATATCTCAATTTTCTTTCTTTTCCTTTCAAATATATCTCAATTTTTTTTTTTTTTTTTTTTGCGTATTATATCAATGTTAGTTGATATGTTATTTTTTAAACTCTGTCCCTTCTAAATTAAAATAAAATAAAGAGGAAATCAACTGAGATCGACAAATCGAACCGAACCAAATCGATTTTTCGTAATTTGGTTTGATTTAGTTCAATAAATATTATGGTTCGGTCTGATGTCAAAAATAATGATACCGTTATTATTATTTTTTGGTAGTCCTGGCAAATTAAGGGAAGGGCTACAAACACGAGTACACCTATTCTCAAAATTGGACATTCTATTGCCACTCGGGGATACAATAAATTCACAAATTGTAAAGAGGTTGTTACTGATAATTCCATTAATTTAAATATATATTTATAAAGATACATACACACATAATACATAAAACACATAAATATTGAATACACTTGGAGTACTACTAGTAGTACTATGTAGTACCTCTCTCCAACAAATATTTTTACTATTTTTCTTTATAGTAAAAAATAATAATTAATCACTAATTAGAGGTACAGTGGTACTTCATTTTCTATACTTCCGAGTTCCCAATGCTTTTCACAAGAAATCACTCGGTTCTGGTCAGCTTCTATATAAATTATATATATATATATATTAAAAAAGATTTCAGGGATCGGACAGAGATAAAGCAACTGTGGTGGTACGATGCGGTGGAGTTCACATCTGTGATATACGTATATTTGTTGATCAATCACTAAAATCTACGGTCACTGATGCTCTGGAGCGAGGACACGTCGGATTAGGTCAACGAGCAATTTCTGACTTCGAGTTGTAACCCAGTTGTTTCTCCATCTCCCAACTCAGCTTAGACGACACACCGGAATGCTTGGGCTCATAATCCTACACAAAAGTGGAAAAATGGACGGCTCAGATCGTTTGGTTTGATTACGTTGACCCGGAAACTTTTTGACTTTTTGAGACAGCAATTTTTCAACCGCGTTGCACGTGTGCCCATGTGTCCACGTGTGATGGGTACTTTTACGTACGTTACACGTACCTCGAGCTTGCACATGAGTTCGTGGGCAGTTTGGGCAGACACAATAATTTGACGGGCAGAGGGGGCAATGAAACCTTCATCAACTGCTTTGTCTATGAATGACAATAAGGAGTTGTAGTACCCTTCAACGTTTAACAAACCAACCTAGTGTCAAACGAAATGATTAATCAAAAGAGATCTCTATAAATTATGTGTGTGTATATATATATATATTGGAATATGTAAAAATAAATTACAAACATGCAAATGAGTATGATTTTTTTCCTGTAAATTATTTGCACGTATATGAATATTATGAATACATCTGTTCATATATAGTTATATAGAAATTCATGCGTGTGCATTTATACATGCTACTCATAAACATATTCTTTCAAGTTGAAGAACGTGGAGAAATGGTAAAACATACTGTACTAAAATAAAGCACATGGTACTGTATAAATATGTGAGTCACGGTTTCAAAATATGACACTTATTTTAGAACAGAGAAGAGAGTATATTATTAGAAAATTTGGAAAAAAAATATATATATATTTAAACGAAAATACCGGTTTATCATGGATTCCCAGCTGAGCCCAAGTAATGACTTCCAGGAGTTCTTCCAAGGTTCCATAGCCACCTGAAAATTAAAAATCATATTAGTAATATTAATATGAACTGAAATATTATCTGTTATATATGCAATAAATTATTCTAAGCAATGCAAGCTAGTGATAGCGACAATCACTATTGTATAAATCATATATTAATTTGAGCATATGAACCAAATTAGCAATGAAAATTCATGTATGAACTTGAATTATACAGGAAATTACCGGGAAGTGCTATGAAAGCGTCGGCGTGTCGAGCCATTTCAGCTTTTCTTTGGTGCATACCGGACACAGCTCTTACTTCTCCAATAGTCTCTCCAATAATCTTCAATCAATATAGACCTCAATTTAAAACATTATAGTAATAATAAAGAAAATAACATATATAATTATCAAAGAGCTCAAGCTCAAAATCGTTCTTTAACTTGTTTAATTAATGAAAAACCACAAAAACCACTTAATTTTAGACAACTTTGGTCAGACACATTACAAAATTCATAATATACAAATAATTACCTCTCTTGGCATAAGAGTTTTTGGAATAACCCTGCAAAATATATAAGGGTAAATAAGTGCACAGCTCAGATATATATAAATATACACACACACACACGTGTGTGTGTGTACACACAGAGAGTGAGGGAGAGGAATTCAGCAAATGAGTACCCTAACACGTGGCAACCACCATCATAGACAGCTTGAGAGACGAAACCCATCAAGCCAACGCTGCCTCCTCCATAGACCAAATCAATGTTCTTTAAAACCTGCCATTATTATTATTTTTTTTTTAATTTTTTTTTTTATATAAACATTTAACAATTTGACACGCAATTGAAATTCAACCAAAAACTCACAATTTGACAATTCAAAAAAATAAAACCACGTTACTCTTACTCATCACTAAACAATTGAATGTATTTTTCAATTACAATAATTAATTAAAACCTCTCACCAAACCCATCCAACTCAATCGTCCCTTCCCAAAGTAAAACAACCAAATTGCACTGAAAACAGAGTCCTCTGTTCTCTGTTTCAGAAAAAAAACAGAGGTCTTGACTCTGTTTTAATCCTTCATGAATAATTAAATCACAACTATATATATATATTTAAAATTCAAACAAACGTGCACAGCCACAATATTTTTACTAGAACTCTCAACCTCTCATTTAGAGGAGTCCTATCTGGACCAATGACCATTAGTTGTAAGTTGTAACAACATATATATATATATATATATATATATATATATATACATATACATGTGTGTATGTAGTTGTACCAGTTGTTTTCCGAGTTGTATAGCAGCAAGCTGGTAGCTGGGGTTCTTGCCGGGGCTGCTGCCGCAGAAAACACAGATACGTTTGAATCTCGACTTCACCGGAGAAGGTTGTTGCTGATAATTGTTTTCCATAAGACCAGAAGCTTTAGTTTCAGCTGCTGACTTTTTGTTTCAATGGGTGGTTTTGGTTTTTGATTTAGAGAGAGAGAGAGAGAGAGAGAGAGAGAGAGAGCAGTCAGCAATCTTTATGAAAGCCAAAAAGTGAGGGGATGGTGTTGTAATTGGTCCTTTTTTATATCCAAATCAATCCAATTCTTTCCATACATCTGTCATTTTCTCGTGATATATTCTAATAACTCGACTTGCAATTGAAGTTTAATATCAGTCACGTGTCTCGATAAATTCAGACGTGTTTTATAGTTACAAGTATTTTTAGTTTATAATTTTGGGTAAATTACTAGTGACTACTTTTGAAATTTGGATTACATTGTATAGGCCGTTCAATGTTGACACCCGTTCATTAGCGGACGGAAAGTGTCTTTTAAGTATATAAAAAGTTAATAATATTTTTATATTATAATAATATATTATATTTTATTTTATTATAAAAAGGGCAAAATCGTTATTTTATGAAATTTGGTCAACGAGTTTATCGCAAAGAAAACTGAGTGTCACCAAATCTCAGCAAAAGTTGAAGTAATAAACATTAGACGTTATTTTGCAAAAGTAATATATATATATATTATCTCAACAAAAAACAACTTACACAACCACATGCTTCTACAAAAAAAAAATAGGTTATTCTAAAAGCTACTGTAGATGAGAGACTTGTGAGCTTTTTCTATTGTCCATTTGAGTTGTTATTGTAAAGAAGAAAATCAAGAAATGCTATTTGTAGCAAATGTGTCATGAAATTATTATTAGTAAAAAATATGTTATTTGTTACGGGGATATATTCTATAAAATATTTTTTACAATTAAAGTGTTTTTAACTGCCTTTGACGATAAGATTGTTCTATTATAACTAAATAAAAATGTCTGTAGCGGTCCCATTATCAATTATTATATAGATAAACATAAAATGGAACAATCTGATAACACAAATGGGATAATTAATGGCATCTCACAATCAAAGTTATTGGGTGGACCATGGCAAATGGTCCTGCACAAATAATGATAGATCTGTTATGACGGTGTTATGGAGAGATGCACCAGCCCGTGGTAATTGGGCCACCCCTGGATCAGGAAGGTAGACATCAAACAACGGTACAAAAACTCAAAAAGGGACTAAATAGGATGGCTTTCTTCCAAGTATTAATTAACCGGCAAGCATGTCAATTTTTTCTATGATAGAGAGCTCGACATTCGGATATATTTAATTAATTTTATGTGAGTACAAATCAAATGAACTTGTCTGACTTTTGGACTATTTAGAGAGTTCGCTTATCTAATACATTTAATTAATTTTATGGGAGTATAAATCAGTCGGATTTTCGGACTACAAATCATTATTATTTTTACTTATTTAAAATCTCTATTTCCTAATTCTTTTTAAGGCTGTTTGATTTAGATTAACAAGTGAAGGAAAAATGGAGTTTAAACAAATTTCATTTTCATTGTATTATTACTAGAAAGAAAATGGAAAAAGAAAGAAATTATGAGCAAGAGTAAGAGAATAAAACCTGATACAATATCCCATTTCTTTTTTCTTTTTCTTGATTTTTGATATGTTTGAAAATAAATCAGTTTCTAATTTTATTTAAATAGGTGAAAAGAATAAGGAAAATAGTTTATCCCTCTGTTTTTTGTCCTTTTCCTCCAGGGTCACATACAAAAGATATTCTAAAACCAGCTAGCTTATATATTTCCCCAAATGTTGCAGAAAACAATGTGTGACCTTTTTTTAAAAAAATAAAACTAAAAATTGGTTTTTTTGTAACACTTTTTATTTTTCAATTTCAATAATTTAAATGAATATTGGTACTAGTGGTATCACATAGCAAAATTGGAATGTTATATATGATGTGCATATAGCCCTTTGATGAGTTTACAACATGGACATTTATCAACACACCCATAAAAATAAAAATAAAAATAATACAAAAAAAAAAAAAAGCTTTTAAATACAATTTAAGATGATAAAACACCACTATCAACAATATTAATTTATTTGACGATTTTAATTTAAATTATATAAAACAAACATAAAAATGAATGATATAAAATTAATAAAATTTAAATCATACAGAATAGAGAATAAAAGTCGTGAAGAAAATGATTCACCCGACAAATTTAGCCAGTGGTTGGATAGCACTAGTCTTGGGATGGTCCTTGAGAAGTATGCCTAGAAGTTTCTATATGGCAATTGGAGTGAGCTTTACACATATGAGTTTGTTAAATATTGGACTGACCTTTACACATCACAAATACAAAAAGGAATATAATATGCAATTGAGAGTGTTCAACTTGCAATTTGCTTCTCCAATTTGAAGTTGCCATATCAGGCAATAGACATACGACTTTCAACAAACAATCTCATTTATATTTATATATGTGTGTGTGTGTGTGTCTACGCCCACTTAGCTTGGTAAGGTCATAGGCCAACCATAATCATAATCCTAGTACAAAATAAAGTAAGCACTAATTTCTTTCTTTATTGCTTTTCTATCTCAGAAGATGATGAGATTTGAATCTTCATTATTATATAGTAATCTTCAAGTCACCACTAAATTAAAATATCAACCAATATAGTACTTTGTAACATCACAAGTAGTTTGTCAAAAAAAAAAAAAACAAGTAGTGAAGATATAATCAACTATATCACACCATTTTTAATAGTGAAAATTAATTTTTATCCTTTATTTGCATAAATTATATTGACCTTTTATGAAGTTGGAGGAATTATACATACGGATAAATCGTTCAACGTTTATAACTCTGACCTCCTTTAAATCTATTTCTTGAAGACTGAATAATAAATTTGAGTGTGAAAACTCAGTAATGCCATCATATTATAATAATATATTTATTATTTCACATTTTATATAGAGAAAGGAAAAAATTGTCATTTTATAAAATTTGATTAACAATTTTATCGAAAGGAAAACAATAAAAGTTTTGTTAAACATGTACATCAAATCGCAAAAAAGGTCAGAATAATAAATGTTAAACTGTTCTATTCGTCTATCATTTATTCAAACATTAGCGAAGTCAATTCAATTTACCGTTTATTTTAACGAAAAATTCAAGCCCTCACTTTGCTCCTACTAGCCATTTAAAAATATGGAGTAAAATGTTTTTGCACAAGAAGTGAAACTCAAATTGTCTCTGCACTGTCCTAAACGTACTGAGGTGTTGGTTGGTGGTCCTCCTACTCACATGCAAGTGCATGTGAGCCACAAAGCATTTTGGTTATGTACACTACACACCCACAAAACATCTATATATATATATATATATATACATATTGCGTATAACAATCCATAAATTCATAAGATAACCTGTTTCAATCAAAGTTGATTAAAACTCCATGAAATTGATAAGAGAGAAGGTTGCTTACTTTACACGGAACTCTTTTTTTTATTTATTTTTTGTTATTTTTTTTTTTTTTATGCATTTTTGCGTAAAAAATATATAATCAAACTGGTGTATCATGGAATATGCACATTTCATTGTTTCCTTTATGCCAACCGAATTAATTTGATTAATTATTGAGGACTCTTGGAATATTTCTCGACAAAGACATCCATAATTTATACTTTAGTTTGATTTGATTTCACAAACACAAACTTTATTATCTAAAAGTCTGACTAATTCAATTAAAACACAAAGGATCGAAAAACTCAATATCACTGTTCTTGAAATTTTAATTTGGAATCAAGCTTTGTTTTTGAAAAATCAGATTTAATTGTTTTTTTTTTGGTAAATAAATCATATTTAATTGTTATTATTATTATTTATGAGTTAAAGTGTAAAAAAACTCTCCTGTTATATACACAATGTTAAAAAAATGTCTCTGTTGTTAAAAAAAACACTCAGTATATTTTTCAAATTGAGCAAATAAGAAACTTTCTCAATTTGAAGACTAAAATACTTAAAATGCCCTTAAAGCAAAGTAAAAAAAATAAAAATAATACTTATATGCACAAATTTTATTAAGGATATTTTGGGATTCTTATTAAAATTTTAGTCAAAATTGATGATTAGGGGATAATTTGTTACAAAATTTCAAATTATAGAAATCTATGTGCACATAATATATACGAGGAGCGTTTCTTGAATTTTTTAAAAGTATAATTTCTTTTTTTTTGCACTTTACCTTTATTATTCTACATATATATATATATATATAATTAAAACATGTACAATATTTACTAATTAATTATGTTACTTACTATAGTACAAATTTTTTTTCTCAATAAAATATATTACCATTGACCCAATCAATTAACGTATTCAAAGTTTTTCTTTCTAAAAGTAGTGGATTCAAAGTTGCGATTGATTCGGACAGAATGTTTCCATCTTGCGTATACTCATTGAAATTATCTTGTTTTTTTTTTTTTGTCCCCCCTCATTAACAGGAATATTCTTCAATTCAACCCTTCTTATCCAAACCAAAGATCTTTTAATAGAAAACAGCACCCAACATGGTTAGTTGTTGGGTCAAGTTTGGAGCCCCAACTTAATTTTTACTTTATGGTATTATATATATAATATAATTTACAGTATCGGTCGCAATTGTGGTGTAATATAACGAACCATCATATATATATATATATATAAATTGTCCAAAGTTAGAGAGCGTCATGTCATGCATTAGCTTTCATATATCTCTATTCTCTCCAATCAATCACTTAAAATTTTTAAGATTCCTTTCGTTAACTTCTCAACTTAATTGATTAATTAGTGTGCTTTCTGTGGCTTAAAGTCATGCAAATAACCACGAACATGCACCATCCTTGTCTCTCTCGATCTACATGTATTGATTGTCTTTTTATAAGACTGACTAAAAACAAACTGGTTCTGTTATTCCAACTATTTTATTTCTTATCTATTAAAAGAGGGTTCCAAAGTCTTTGACTAATACATTTCTTATCCTTTATTTTTTGGGACGATTTAAATGGTCTACTACTACAAATAAATTATGTTGTATCATCAACAAGTTTGGCTCGATTTATTTATAGTTTGATTTGAGTTTGTTCTTTAAGTAGACAAACAAAACTGGAGCCTAATTTTTAACGT